AGAAATAACTTTCTTTCACTCTAATTACAAAGATAATATATATGCTTTTATCATTTAAGAGTGATCTCAAACAAATTAATATATGCAAAAGTTTTATTATACTTTGCTACTCTTCTAGGCTTAATATAGTCTTAGGTACAGAGCAATAGTTAGAGTCTTTGTAAACAATAAAACATATTTCATTAGAAGCCATCCACTAATACTTACAATTTCCTTTGTACACTAGAGATACTGGTTTTATTGCCTTCTTAGAAATACCATGTCTTTTTTAAATTTCTAGAATATATGTTTTACAATATTTTGGTCTTACTTAATTGAGCTATCTGTGATGCTTCTATGATACTTTGGGATATGAATAAACCATCTGTCTCCCTTATTTCCATAAGCAAGTAACATGTCTAGTCTTCACACTGCTGATTCTTGGTTGAAGTTTATGGGCAAGATTTAGCTCCATAGACAAGGATGGAAACGCAGGTCTGACAAGTAACATCAATATCAGGACTAAAAGTCCCAGGACTGCAAACCACTGTAGAGGAAAACACATGGAGTAGATTTTAATAATATCAGAGGTATTTTATACCAATAATATAAATCTGTCTTCAAAATCACTTCACTTCTTTCTGTTATACTGAATCATGTTCAGCACCAATTAAGTTGTGGGGGATTATTTGTAAGTTTTAAACTTTGTAGTCTGATGATTTTTAAAACAGGAGGAAGTTAAAATCCTAACTTTTCCCCTTTTGTACCATCAGCATCTTTTTTCCTTTAGTATCATCAGCATCAGTATTTCTCAGGACCCCATTTTTTTGTTTCCATTTCATTCTCCATTTCTAGGTTAGACTACACTGTTTTGTTTTTTTTTCTGTTCACAGTACACTAGCTGAAGTTAGAACACTGCAGAAATGTTTTGTATTACAGTGAGTATATTAGAACAAATTAATATAGTTTGAGATAATAATATTTGGAAATGTGGGCTTTGAATTTTTACTTCTATTTAGCTCAATATGATTTTTGTGTGTGTAAGAGAATCACTGTAAAGATTAAATTCAATTATCTGAAGTGAATTACTCACCTGTTCTTCTGACTATGTCATCTAAATATTTAGATATTTATATTGTATAATTACCGCAACAGCTAGCACAATTACTGTGCATAGCTTCATTTTTTCCAAAGCCTGGACGACAACTGTCCATACGCACTACTTGAAGACTGTGGTCTACAAAATGCATAGCTGGTAGAGTTTTATTAAAGTCATGGTAGAAAATATATGCTTGGCTCCTAAAAAATTCTTCTATCCGATCTCTTGCCTAGGATTTAAAGACACCAGAGAGAATTACAATCATGAAACCATTAATCAAGTTTCTCTTTATGTATCAGTGGCAATGAAATGCATTGTAAGCATTCCATGCTTTACACAACACCCTGACAAGTTGTGTGTTGTGTATTCATACTGAAATTAGCCTAGGCTTGGCCAAATCAATTATTGGCAACTGACATGCACAGTGGTTAAGGAAAACGAAGTTGAGATTAAAAAAAAAAAACAACTTACCTTGAATTATTTATAATGTGCCCATTTCACAGGTAGATACGTAGGAGTTCATAATTTCTACATGAATATGATTGTCAAGAAAAAAAAGCCAAGCAAATGAAAAACCTACAATTGTCTCTAATCAGCATTTCAAATGAATTATGTAAACTGTTCCATATTTTGGTCATAGAACTTAAAAACATTAACTGAGTGCTAGCCATAAGCCAAATATAGCATTAATGGTATGGACTGAGAAACTAGACCAGGGAAGTACAGGG